GAGAGAGAGAGAGAGAGAGAGAAAAGAGAGAGAGAGAGAGAGAGAGAGAGAGAGAGAGAGAGAGAGAGAGAGAGAGAGAGAGAGAGAGAGAGAGACAACGGGAGAACTACTTCGGTTTTCTATCTGCGAGTGAGTTGAGGAGGAGGAGGAGGGGTAGGAATATGACGTTGACGGCAGGAAGAAGCGGGATGGGAACAGGCGTAGGGGGGAATGGTGGTTTCACTTTTCTTCCTCTTTATTAATTCCGATTTTGCTTTCTGTGTCGCTTCGCCATACTCCGTGCCGTCTTTCTCTTCATGTCTTCCTCTCATCCACGTGTTTCTTCTGTTGTCCTTCTTGTCATCCTTCTCTCCGCGTCCTTCCTCCTCCTCCTCGACGTCAGCCTCTGCTTATGCCCAGTTCCATGTGGGAGCCGTGGAGGCCAATATCCTCCTACCTCCAGGAGAGCACGGGAAGGAAGGGAATGGAGAAGCGATTATGATTCGAAGATAATATGGGAGGAAGAAAAGGAGGGAGAGGAGGGAGGAAGGAGAGGAGGGAGAAGGAGAGCAGGGAGGAAGGAGAGCAGGGAGGAAGGAGAGGAGGGAGGAAGGAGAGGAGGGAGGAAGGAAGGAGAGGAGGAAGGAAGGAGAGGAGGGAGGAAGGAGAGGAGGGAGGAAGGAGAGGAGGGAGGGAGGAAGGAGAGGAGGGAGGAAGGAGCGGAGGGAGGGAGGAAGGAGAGGAGGGAGGAAGGAGAGGAGGGAGGAAGGAGAGGAGAGATGAAATAATGGTGATGACGACGAAGAAGGGGGTAGGAAGATGAGGATGATGACCTGAAGAAGTTGGAGGGGAAAAGGGGGAGGAGGAGGCTATGGTGAAATGGGGAGGGGGAGGAGGCTCCGCTGATTTCGTTTATTGTTCTCTTTATTGATGCCCTCTTCGCTTTCAGATTTGTGTTGCCATGTTCCCTGGTCCTCATCTTTCTCCTTCTTCTCCATGTCTTTTTTTCTCTATGTCATCGTTCTGCTCCACTGCATCTCCTCCACGTCATCCTTCTCCTCTATTTCACCCTTGTGCCTCCGAGGCCAATATCCCTCAGCCTCGGGAGAGTGCAGGAAAGACCATCACAGTGACACTGAGGCTAGAAGGCTTTTTTTCATGTTTTCGTCGTCCTGCTCCACATTCATCTGCTGCAGATCCTGCTTCCTGGCGGTACAGACACACACACACACACACACAGAGAGAGAGAGAGAGAGAGAGA